CTGTAAATCTTTACAAGGGCAAAACGCCTCATCTTTCTCATATGGAACAGCTGGTAGTTCCGAACTGCTGACCTTACGGTTCTCAGCCCGATTCGTAACCACTACGCTACCAGAAAACCTAGCCACACACACCCCAACCCCCAATTGCTATGTTGTTAGATTCAGTAGCACCACTAGTGAAAATGATCTCACGAGAATCAGCCCCAATCAGAGATGCCACTTGCTGGCGAGCACATACATGGCTGCCTCACTCTCCCAGTCATAAGCATGTGTCTGGGAATGTGGGTTTCCATAGTAGTTGACCAGCTAAGGGAGCATGGCATCAAGCACCCCGGGGGCCAGAGGAGTGGTAGCTTGCACATCCATATAGAGAGGTCGCAACACTGACTCAGCCTCCGGAGCAGGGGCTGTATCTGAGGGAACAGACGACTGGGCCGCATGATCTACAACGCGCATGCGCAGCCCCCAAATGGGTACAGGAGACATCTACACCTGAGCTGCAGTCAAGGCCACCGCCGCCCGCCTCCAGGCTCCTCGCAGCCGCATGTCTAGCAAGCAGAATTCCCCACAGGAAGCAGCTGTGATCCTCAACTCTCCATGAACTTTTAAAGTTCTGTCATATTTTCCAAGAAGTCTCCATGAACTTTTAAAGCTCTGTCATATTTTCTCCCTCCTAGGATCCTTTGGAGAAGGATCAGGCTGCCTGCTCCAGTAAAGATATACATTGTTGAAACCTCATGTAAGGTCACTATGAGTCAAAATTGACTCAGTGACAGTGAGTTTGGTGTTTTGAAAAGCACCAAAAACCAGTTGTCATCAAGTCAACTGTGACTCATGGCAGCCTCAAGTGTGTCAGAGTAGCACGCTACTAGGTAGGGCTTCAATGGCTGATTTTTCAGACATAGATCACCAGGCCTTTCTTCCAAGGTAACTCAGGGTAAACACAGTAGTATCTGGTTAATCCTTCTATTGGCTATAGTTCTTAATTCAGTGTCCAGTATTATCAAAAGTAGGTATTTAATATATTGACTACCTGGTTTGGTACAGTCGGATCAGCACTGGACTGCTAACCACAAGTTAGGTGGTTCATACCCACCAACCACTCCTCAGAAACCTTATACAGGATATCTGTGGGTAGAAACCAACTCTATAAAACTAAACAACAACAAATAGATTGTTAGATTGATCTTGGTCAAGTAGAGGAGACGACGTTCAGTACTAGGTATAGTGATGGAAGAGGAGGGTGGTACAAGTTCCTTCTAACCATGAGCTTAATAAGGATGTACTGACACCAATCCTAATTATATCGTCATTATTTCTACTTCTGTCTTTGCAACTAAAAGTTTCCTCACAGTAGTAAGTATGATGAAACTCAACATAAGACTATTTCAAACAATCCCATGTTAACTACTTTGCTGAGTTTTTCATTTATACTTTACCTGTTTTGTGACCTGTAGGCTTACTTTAAGTGAGAGGCAAAGATGATATTTGCTCTAGGACTTCAGTTCTATTTCTATAAGAAAAATCTACTGTTGACAAATAAAATAATAATCTAGGATAGTAGCAAAACATAGTTGGCATCTAGTCAGATTTGACTTGTGGTGACCCCATGTGTGTCAGGGTAGAATTCTATTCTGTAGCGTTTTCAATGGCTGATTTTTCAGAAGGAGATTTCAGGGTTTTCTTTCAAGGTATGACTTGATGTACTTGAGCCTCCAACTTTTCAGTTAGTGGCCTAGAGCATTAACTGTTTGCATCACCCCCATGATTCCAGAGTAGTATTAGCAGATAGATTGTTTCAAACCAAATTGTCTACTCAATGGACACACGATCACTTTTTTTCTTTAAAAATTTTAATTTCTAAAATGTATGCATGGCTTAGCTTTGTGTGATTGGTTTCTTGTCCCTTTCTACATAGCAAGTAATATTGGGGGAGTATGATGTTGAACTAAGAAGAAGGGAAAACCAGTGAGCAATGCATACTTTTAAAGAAAAAGATTGGCATTTGTATAAATTCGAAACTACCAGCTGTTTGGCAGGAGAAAGATGAGGCTTTCTGCTCTCGTAAAGATTTAGAGCCTCGGAAACCCTGTACCGGATCGCTATGCGTCTCAGCCGACTCCAAGGCACATAACCAACCAACAAGATGTTATGTTCTGGTAGCGTAGTGGTTACAAATTGGGCTGCGAACCTCAAGGTCAGTAGTTCAAAACTACCAGTTGTTCTGCAGTTCAAAACTACCAGCTGTTCTACGGGAGAAAGATGACGCTTTCTGCGCCCGTAAAGATTTACAGCCTCGGAAATCCTATACAGGGTTGCTTTGAGTCAGAACTGACTCCACCACACATAACCACCACCAGATGGTATGTTAAAATACATTTTTTTAAAATACTGTGTTTTTGGTAAAGATTTACACAGCAGTTTAAGTTTCCATTCAACAATTCTATACAAATTGTTCAGTGACATTGGTTACATTCTTCACAATATGTGAACATCCTCACTATTTCTGTTCTGGTTGTTCCCTTTCCACTAGTCTAGTTTCCCCACCTCCTTACATCCTCATATTTGGTCTCATATATATAATTTTTTAAAGGTGCTTAATAGTATGTAAGGATGATATTCATTCTTTTCTAAGCTAAGCTTTATTTAACTACAAGTACCTTTAGGTCCAAAGTGTAAAGAGTATCTTAGGATAATAGCCTAAGGAGTCCTCCTAAAGTTTTGTTCTACATTTTTCTCTCATTCTAACAGGGTCCACAGGCCTAATAAGATGTAGTCACTTTTAATTTTTAAAAATTCTGCAAAGAAAATCAGTTTTTAAAAAAGAATATCTAATATACATATGTAAAATTAAAAAGCAGCAAACCATGCTTTATGTGAAATATGTTTATTTTCATGTGAATATTAAAAAAATAATTTATTGTGCCATTCTGTCAACACATTGAGTACATGATAGGGTTAACCTTTTAAAAGGCCCTTCTGGTACAATCACAGTAAATTGACATAGACACTTAGGCAATTATTTATCTTGCCACTTAAAAAAATTCCCTGTTCATTTCATATCTTTAACATTTTTTTCTCCAATGAATTATTGAATTTTATAAAAACTTCAAAGTTCTATAATAAAATCTAGCTATTTTTATTGAATTAACTCTTAATGAAATTGTTAAGCATATCACCACAGAATCAAATTTAAATGACATTTATAATATTCTTTTTCATTCATGTGTTAAACTAATCACACAGAGTCATAAAAAATTATCCTAGTGTACCTACGTGTAAATGAAGCAGAACTTTGTGCTGTAATTCTTCTTTCAGAACTGAACTTTGAATAAGGCAAGGAAGTTTTTTGTTTGTTCTTTTCAACTGAGTTTGTTCCACTATTAGTTTTAATTACATAATTTTATATTATATGATTTTTATAAAGATGACATCAAGATTTTTTAATATATAAGCAGGATCTAATTTATAAATAAAAACATAATAATTAAAGTTAGCATTCTAGTCCTAAACCAAAATCAAACATGTTCTTTAAAGAGCATTCACAATGACTGTAAATTTTATCACAGATAATATGTATAGAGAATGAGAAATATCAGCTCACTTGATTAGACTAATTTTTCTTATAAAGAAAAACACCCTTCGTATATCCTTTCACAAAGATACTCATACAATTAACCTTGAAATTCAACTAGCTGAACAAATGTTCTAATGGTGTTGAACCCCTTGTGCTTTAATTTTCAAGTTTAATTTAAAATTAAGGCATTTTTATAAAACACTAAGTATACAGAATCATATCATACATTGGAAGCTATATAAAATGTGTGTCCTGACCTGAGGTTATATTCTTCCTCAGTAAGTGAAATGTTGACATAAACCATAATATATAAAGCATACTTGAATGACTACTGTTTAACGTAAATGGGAATTATAGAATTTGACCAGATTATTCTGAAATATTAGAACAATCCAAATGTATAATCTGGAAAACTCCAGATATAATTGACAGCAATTTTTAAAGTGTAAACATTTCCTTTGCATTGTATATATTGCTGTATTACTATTCAATTAAAAGTAATCCATGTATAAAATAGCTGAATACTATTGCAGCTCTAAATTGATGTATAGTCATGATGAGAACAGATCTAAACAGAAGTAAGTAGGGCATTCTTGATTTTTGTGAAAATACAAAAACAGTATTCAGATATCAACTGTGCCTGAAATCTTTTCTACATGATTTTTGGTTATCAATTATATCAACATGACTAATATCATTGAGACCTATAGATATAATAAAATAGCTTATAATTTATAAGTCCGTCAATCAAAAGTTTCTGTTGTGCAAATGTGCTAAAATAGAATTTCCCTCAGATGAACTATTTTAACTAATCTGAGTTTTAATATAATCTGATAACCATCCAAAATTAGTGTTAATAGTTTCTATTTTAATTGTCCTTCTGTTTTTACTCATTTTTCTTTTCAGTAGAATATATTATAAATTATTAAACTAATATAATCAGGGAAGTTGTTTAAAATGATACTTTCCAGGAACATACAAACACTCACTTTAGAATTCATTTTCTATGTTATCTCTTCAAGAATCTCTTTCTATGCTTTTAAGGTGTTGGGAATCCTGGTGTGGTGCTGTAAGATAAACACTGCTAAGCACAAGGTCAGTGGTTCAAAGCCACTAGCCATACCTTGGAAACCCTATACAATGTTGCTATGAGTCAGAACCAACCAGACTGCACTTAACAACAACAACATTTAGTTACTTCAAAGGTAGAGAAACTTTGTTCAAAAATAAAAACCTCCCCAAACACCCAATTTGTTCATGTCTAAGTGATTTTACATTTTAAAATATCAATCAAACATTAATTAGTTTAGAAGATACTCAATTCCATTCTTCATCCTTCCCCCTCACTCCTTTCTTTTCTTTCAAGTAACCAGGTAGCATCTCACTCATGTCAGGAAGCCATTCACAGTTTAAAAACTTCTCATCAACTGCTCTGAGAAATGCTATGAAGATACTCTTCAGATTTCATTATAAAATTTGTCCACTCCTGACAAATGTCCTCCATGGAGAATTCTTCACCACCATATTCCACAGGTAGGATGTCTGGAAAATGCTGAAGTAAGTTTTCTTTGTAATCATTTCCGTGCATGTGAATCTGAAATAGCCAAACGTTTTAGAGATACTGCCTCCACATATCAATATAATAGATACATTTCAATGGAAAGTCAACACCATAAGACAAGGAGTTCTAATAACTTGGAAGAATGAGGGGCATGCATATTTATCACCGTTGTTAAGTGCTGTAGAGTCAGTTCCAACCCATAGCGACAATGTATAGGGTTTCCGAGGAGCAGCTGGTGAGCTCGAACCACCAACCTTGTGATTCAAACCAACTTTCCGCACATTAACCAGCAGCACCATAACAGGGCTCCATGTATATGTAACACACCCTTTGTTCTTCTCTTATGAATCTAAGAAATTTACTTATATATCGACTACACTGTCTATGAATCAAATAATCTTATGTTTTCTTAGATTTCCATTCTAATAACTACACAAAATTAATAACAAGATACTGTTTTTCTCTTTCAAAAGTAGATTTTTAAAATCAAAATAGAATTTTATGAATTCTATTCTCTGACATGCAGGTAATTCTTAATAAAAGTAATATCCTAGGACTATTCTGTAGAGGTTAAAAACATATTTCCTGGTACTAGTTTCTATTAAGGAGCCCTGGTAGCATAGTGGGTTATTCAACTGGCTGCTAACTACAAGGTCAACAGCTCAAAACCACCAGCCACTGTGAGAGAAAAAGATGAGGCTTCTGCTCTTGTAAAGATTTATAGCCTTAGAAATCCTATACAGTGTTGTTGTGAGTCAGAACTTGCTCCTCGGCATACAGCTGCAGCAGTTTATATTAAATATAAGTATATACTTGTAAACACAATTAACTAAGTGAGGAATCATTTATGAGTTGTAGTTGATGGATAGTGTTACTAATACAAAAATTAAGAGACAATTATGGTTGAAAATCTTCCATTTTCAAATATTTTAAGCTATGAAAATAGATCACTTAGTGCTTTGAAGTTGACAATAACAAAAACTTGGAACCTTGAACCTTGCTAACATAAATAAGTGAACAAATAATCTTTTCCATTTGCTAGGGGAAATTTTTCATCTATACATTCAACAAACATTTAATAAGTATCTGCTCTGTATGAAGATATGGGGGTTGAAAAGTAAGTTTTCTGTACTCAGGAATTTTGCAGTTCCTATTCTTGATGTATCCTTAAGTGTTCAAAATATCATCAACTGATTGCAAAGAAATTCTACTAACACCTCAGGAAGAAGGCAAATAGAATAGCACAGGATATTGATAATTTTATGAATTATCATTTGACAAACAGTTTAAAAGGAAGTAAGTGGCTGGTTTGGTTTATTCTGTTGTTGTTAAAGAGATGGAAAAAATGATCACTAACTTTAAATAGAAAGGAAAGAGACCTCAGATAAGCAATTGCTTAAGAAGGACAATAAAGTTGGAGGTCTCTCACTCCCTGATCTCAAAACTTACTATAGTCACAGTGGGCAAAATAACCTGGTACTGATACAATGAAAGATCTATAGATCAATGGAATCCAGAAGTAAATCCATCCATATTTACTCAGCTGATCTTTGACAAAAGGCCAGATACATTAAATGGAGACGTGATACTCTCTTCTATAAATGGTTCTGGCAAAACTGGAAATCAATCTGTATAAGAATTAAACAAGACACATATCTCACACCATATACAAAAACAAACTCAACATGGATTAAAAACCTAAATGTAAAACCTAGAACCATAAAGATCATCATGAAAAAATAGGGGCAGATTAAGGGGTTCTAATACATGACACAAATACACTATCAAACATTGCTAAAAACATACAAACAGCAGAAGACAAGATAGATGATTGGGACCTCCAAAAAATTAGACACTTTTGGCATAAAAAGATTTTGCCAAAAGAGTAAAAAGGAAGCCAAGAGACTGGGATTTATATATATAT